GACAGGGTTTCTCTGTGTAGCCCTGGTTGTCCTGGAACTCACTCTGTAGACCAGGCTGACCTTAAACTCATGGAGATCCACCTGTGTCTGTCCCCTAAGTGCCGGGATTAAAGATGTGCACCACCACTGCCTGGCATTATATTAGATTCTTTTGCTACATGAAGTTCAAGAAAAGCAAGATTCATCTGGGGCTATGGAACTCAAAGTGATGATTGCCAAAAGAACTGAGAAGAGGCCCGAGGAACTCAGCCAGGGAATCAAAGAGAGTCTAAACTTTGGCATTGGGTGGTGCTCTGTTGACTTAGACATATGTGAAAATTGTGTGTGTGTGTGTGTGTGTGTGTGTGTGCATAAATTACAGATCAAAGCTGGAGACTGGGAATGGAACCCGCTGCAAGGATGCTTGCTTGTTTTGCATGCACGAGGCTATGTTCTATTCCAGCACTGCCAAAACCCAAACAAACTAGAATGGTCAAATAGCACAGCTGTTGGCCGACAGCCACCCAGCTAACAGGAGTTGAGTCTGTTCTGGAGTTAGGGCCACTGAGCTTGGCTCAAAGACAGAGTCTGAGCTGAGAGTACAGCCAAGTGTCCTCCTCTGCTGCCCTTTACAGGGTCCCGGTGGGGATTGTGACCAAAAGTTCCCCAAAGCTCTACCTTCCACCAAGCCTCCCACAAGGCTGACTAACTGGTTAGAACTTCATTTATGATGGAGAGTTTAGAATGTTACAAGTCCAGAACCAAATTATCTTGGACCATCTGTAGTTCTCTTAACAGCCATTTATTGGGGTTGGAGAGATGGCTCAGAGGTTAAGAGCACTGACTGCTCTGCCAGAGGTCCTGAGTTCAGTTCCCAGCAACCACATGGTAGCTCACAACCATCTGTAATGAGATCTGGTGCCCTCTTTATAACAAACAAATAAATCTTTAAGAAAGTATATTTAACAGCCATTCACTGACCCCTCTGTATATGAGTTAATATCTTTGTTATAATTATGTAAATCCTTTGGGATGTACAGACACTTAACTTCGCCAACCAAAAGATTAAGAATGGGTACAGGTAACATCTGAGATTTTCTCACTTTCTGTGAATCACCTACCTAATGCTTCTATCAATGTATCTGCAAAATGCTTAGATTCATGGCTTTCTTTGTTATGTCACTATAAAATCCTCATCAAACTGTGGCTACTTTGGTAGATGGAATTTAGAATGACATAAATCTATGTTCCTGGCCTGTGGTCACTCATATTTGGTTCCAGAATCAACCATCTCTTATCCCCTTTGGAATCAGAGTTCATTCAACATAATCAAGTGAATTCCAGGTGTGAGATTTTAGATTTGTACATACATTATCAGCCGTCTCTATAAGCCTGCGATCCTGTTTAACCTCAACATCTTCCTGGGTTTCTGCCATTTCTGTCCACTGTTAAAATATACCAAAAGCTCTCTGCAAGTCCTTGTTGTGTCCTTCAAGATTAAAAAAAATGTATCAGTCATTAAAGCTCAAGAAGCAGGGAAGAAAATGATGTTTTAAGATCCAAGAAATAAGTCCAAATGTTCAGTTCCGAGTCACCAGGGTGGGCAGTAGAGTCAGTGTCTCTCTTTTTGTCATTCGTCTGCAGGTGCTCTGTGCTCCCAGAAGTCAGACTTGCAAGTGACAGACACCACCTTGCTCCAGGCTGTGTCTATGCATTTGGTAGAAGAAACATTCTAGATTATTCTTGTGTATGTGCGCATGTTCGTGGGTGGATGAATGTGCAAGTACAGGTGGAGGCCAAAGGTCTCAAGGTTTTTATTTATAATTTTTAACTTATATATTATTGGTGTTGGAGAGAAGGCTCAGAAGGGATTTCAACTGCCCAGCACACCCCAATATCCTTTCTTTGTCTCTCCCATAGTAACAGAACTTTCAGCTTAGATACACGGCCTTTCAGAATAAAGACTACATTTCCCAGGCTTCCTTGCACCTCAACGTAATCATGTTTAGATTGAAAAGGATGACAGATGTTAGATTCTGGAAAATTCCTATCCAAGATACCTCATCACTTCTATTTACCTTCTTTCTTTTTCTTTCCTCTCTCCTACGCTCCGGAACATAGAAGTTGCCTTGAACCACAAGGGTGATGACTATCCCCAGGTGTTTGTAGGGCAGTTAATTGAAGAAGGCCTTGGCAGTTGAGGAGCTGACTCAGCACACAAAGTGACTGCAGTGCAAGTGGGAGAGACTGAGTTCAAATCCCCAGAATCCACGAAAGCCTGGTGCCTGGTATGCGCTGGGAGATGGAAATAGACCGTGGGAGGGGGAGACAAGCAGAGCCTGTGGGCTTAGTGGCTAGACCATCTAGCCAAATGACAAGCATCGGGTTCAGTGACAGATCCTGTCTCAAAAAATAAAGTGGAAACTGGTCATAGAGGTGCACGCCTTTAACCCTAGCACTCAGGAGGCAGAGGCAGGCCAATCTCTGTGAGTTTGAGGCCAGCCTGGTCTACAAGAGCTAGTTCCAGCACAGCTAGGGCTGTTACACAGAGAAATCCTGTCTCGAGAAGTAAATAAATAGCCAGGTAGTGGGGGTGCACGTCTTTAATCCCAGCATTTGGGAGGCAGAGGCAGGTGGATCTCTGGGAGTTTGAGGTCATTCTGGTCTACATAGTGAGTTCCAGGCCAGCCAGGACTGTTACACAGAGAAACCCTGCCTCAAAGATAGATAAATAGGTAGGTAGGTAGATAGGTAGGTAGGTAGATAGTGATTGATAGAGTGTTAGGGATGAGAAGGAGTCACAAATTAATAGACCACCAACTCAAAAATAGGTATCTCAGCAAACAGGTGTCTCAGCAAGGAAAACACACTTTTTTTTTTTTTTTTTTTTTTGCAGAAAGGCGCATAGCCGCAACAAGCCAGAGAACAGGTATACGTGGCTACAACAGCCTCTGTCTTTTATCCCTAAGGGAAAGGGAAAGTTGTCTGTTCCTCATTGGCTGAGTGATTTCTGCCAGAGACAGGTAGGAGACACTCATGACCGCCAGCACAGAGCCCTCAGTAATGGGCTGTGCTGGGGAATGTCAAAAGGAAGGAGCTTCTTACATGCAAGGCCTAATGGCCAGCAGTTGGCTTGTCCATTTTGTTTGTTTGAGGCAGGGTCTCAAGTAGCCCAGGCTGGCCTCCAATTCACTGTGTGGCAGAGAATGAACACCTGATCCTCTGCCTCCACTTTTTAAGTGCTAGAATTACAGGTGCAGACCTGGTGATACTCAGCTCTTACAGACTGAGCTCCAAGCTAGTGACGACCCAAGTGCCTGGCTTTAATACAATCCAAAAGGGAGACACCAGCTGAGCTCCAGCTCTGAGCACACAGGTAAATCCAGGGTGCTAGAGTCTGTATATGAAGTGTACTCCATAGGCTTCTATGTTTGAATGCTCGGAACCAAGATGGTGGCACTGTCTTCAGAGCCATGAAACCTTTAGGTGGGGGACACAGAAAACAAATTCTGGCAGGCCATGAACACCCTCTAGCCAGTCATGAAGAGGACCATCGCAAGTCTGAGGTGTGAAAACCTACTGCAGAGCGCCATGGGGCCCAAGAATTCATAGCCTCTAAGTATGCATCACACTAAGCGCTTCACTGGAGTAGAGTATGGGCTTCCTCCCTTTCACAGCCTTCCCGTCACTTTCAGCAAGTCTCTAGCTCAAAGAAGCCTTCTGCTATTTCACAGACCCTGGGCCGTGGCCCCATGCCTGTCAGAGGCAAAATACTGGGGATAGAAGATGGCTGGGTGGGAAAGTGCCTACCAAACGAGCATGAGAGGCTGAGTTCGAATCCCCAGAACCCATGTGAAAACTAGGGTGTGGTGGGGAAAGCCTGTAATTCCACTGCTGCGGGGGAGGGTAGAGGGGGCTCCTTGGTGCTTGCCGGTCAGCTGGTATTGCTAACCGGGTGAACTGCAGGTTCAGTGGAGAGTGATGGAGGAAGGCCTCCGGCATCAATCCCTCATCTCCACACTGATACATGTGCACTCACCCCACGCAGGTTTACATACAGAAATATGAACACGTACATACGTCACACTGCCTGTACACACACACACACACACACACACACACACACACAGGCAAAATCCCACCTTACAGAGAATTGTTACAACCTAATAAGGCCAACCTCCATCAGCATGCAGTGCCCACCCTGGTTCACGTTTGTCTCTGCTGTGCGTGGACGTATGTATTCATTAGGAATTTTTCATTTCATAAGTCAGTGATAGAAATTCAAAGCAGATCCACTACCAAAGGGACTTGTTTTTGTTTGCCCACTGTGTGTCAGGCAACTGGAGAGTTTGGAGGTGCTGTTTGCTTCAGGCAAAGCTTTATCCAGCAACTTGTAGCTTCACCAACAACTCTGTTTCCCTGCTTTGCCTTCCAGTGAAGGGTTCCTCCTTCAGCTCTGCACAGGGGCCCTTCCTCTCTCACTTCTCTACCCTTCAGGCATCTTCCTGACAGCCTCACTGGCCTGGGGAGAAGGGAGTTTCTCTTTCAGGAGTTCCTTCAGGAAGAATGACTTTCTGTGGCCATTTGCCTGCCCCCAGCCAATCTGGGTGGCTGATAGTGAGGTCTGAAGACCAGCAGAAGCTAAGAGCAACATTTCCCCCACACACACCCAGGAGAGCAACACCCTCTCCCAACCAACTACAGAAGTGAGTTCCTCAGAGAAGAACAGGATGCCAGGCAGGGGAGGGGTAAGGGAATGTGGGAGAAGCAAGCAGCAAAGTCAACATCCCCTCATTGTTTCAGCTACCCCACCACCACACCCGCAGGAGCCCCCCAAAGTGACTGAAACCACAGGGGAGCCAGCTTGGCTGCCTTTGGATTCTAGGTGTACCAAGATCTGTTAAGCCCTGCGACTTCATAAACTTGCTCAATCTCTCTGTGCCGTGGTGTTCGTATTTGTTGGTGTGGCGAGGGTGATTAAGCCAGGAGCAAGCTTTGATTCCAGGTATTTCATCTTCCAGGGCTGGAGGAAGCTGGCAACTAAGCAAAGACGGTGCCCAGTGCATTCATGCCTACCAGGACAGGAGGCATCGTGAGAGCCTCAATCAAATGCTCAACCGAGGGTCCCGAGGCCAGTGACGCTGCTACAGGTGCCATGGTGGTCTGTGCTATTTAGGACCGTGCTATCCGAGCCGGTGACTTTTCACGCTTCTCAAACCGTATAAAAATGAAACGTCATTGGCAATCTATACATAGAAAGTTCCCGTTTCCGAGCTCGCGCAAAGAGGGTGGGTGTGCTAAGACATTTACAGAAAGCTGATGGATGTGGAAAGGCTGGGGGGCTGGGGTGGAGCATGTTTGCTTGTTGTTTGAGGGGCTGCTGGGTCCTCCCAGAAGCAGAGCTAGGAGAGACATGAGAATAAGAATAACTGAGATAAACTAGGAAAGGACCACAGCTTTTCCAAAGGAAGAAGGAGGCAGTCGTTCCAAAATAGCAATGCTCCAGTCTGTAAGAACCACCAGGTTTTCAGAAAAAAAATGAAACAGCACAATAAAGCTGGCCTCCAGGTGGGCTTCAAGGACCAGAGACGGCCATGTGGGGTCCGCCTTTCCTAGCTGCCCCCTCGCTGCCCTTTCCCTGTATTGTGGGTATAGGGAGACTGCGGGTCTGTGTTCTCTGTGCAGGGATATTTAGACATGCAAATGAGTGAGCCTGTTAATGAGCTGAGGGTGATTAGGCTGCAGGGAACAGCCGGCCTGAGCGAACAATAGGTGAAAGAACCAGGTGTCTCCAATCTTCACCTCCAGCCCCCTGCCTCAGGCCTCCAACAGGCAGGGCAGGCTATGCCAGTGTCTGAATCCACCGGGGGTGGGGTGAGAAACAGCAGCTTCAGAGAAGATCTGGGTCTGGTCAGGGACCTGCCACAGTCTTTTGATTTCTCCAGCGCCCCAAAAGGGCTGTTGGGGAGCCATTGAAGCACATAGCTTCCCCGGTGGGTGGTATTGGGCAAACGCCCTGCAACTGGGACAGAAGTGGGACCCTGTGGAGGGCTCAGGTCCCCTCCCCCAACCTTTCTAGGCTGTGATTGGGAACTTCAGGAACTAGAAATCCAGGGGAAGGATCTGTGAGGGAAAACAGAAGGTAGTGGTATCCGCTTTTTTGTTTGTATTTTCAAAAAAGGGTTTCTCTGTGTGGCCATAGCCACCTGGAACTCACTCTGTAGACCAGTCTGGCTTCAAACTCACCAGAGATCCTCCTGCCTCTGGCTCTTGAGTACTGGGATTAAAGGCATCTGTGGTTGTAGGAAGAGAAACACCGTATTACTAGAAAAGGCACAGACCTTTGGTTTTACAGACCTGAGTTTGTTGAGCCAAATCTGTCAGATGCCTTGTGTCCATGAAAGCTAGTTGATGGGGTGCCCACTGCCGTGCCAGCCTTCCCCTTTTGATAGATTATGAGACTTGGCCCGCGGCGTATTACTTTCTCATCAACTGGAGGGTTACCGGCCACAGGAAGTCCTTACAACAGACTCACTACCAGTCTAAACCAGATTGAGAAAGTACTCTCTGAGTTGTTCCGAGGTAGTACAAAGCAACCCCAGGCTTTCTCCTTTTCCCACTCTTCTCTTCCCACCCGTTTCCTGGTCCTTGGGACGTCTAGATGGAAAGCATGACTTTGGGGATAGGGAGGTAGTTCAGACAGTGGAGAGTCTGCCAAGTGTGAACCAAGGTCCATCTCAGCATGGCATAAAGTGGGCATGGTAGAGCATGTTAAACAAACGAGGAGGGCACGGCAGGTTGGTGCTGAAGGAGCTGGTGTACATTACCTTCCAGGAAGAAGCTTTATTAGGAGAAAGAGCCCTGAGGCCGCAATCAAGCTCTGTTGAGAGAACCTTAGAAAGGGACAGAGCCTTGTACCAGAGGCAGCATGAGGAGTCTTAAAGGGAAGGAGAGGCTGCCCTTTCAAGCCAGGAGGGACGCATCATTAAGAGGGATAGCTGAAAGTAAGGGCAAGAAAGATTTAGAGCCGAGAGCCAGGTGGTCGGGGAAGGACCAGAGAGAAATCCCACAGAGGAACATATCTGACTTTTATATCTTTCCAGGAGGTGGCAGAAAGTTTCTAGCCGTGTGATTTAGCCTGAGGCTGATGTGGCAAGGAGTATGCAGGAGACAGGTATTGACTCGGACCCTAAATTTGAGGCTGCGAGGCCTCAGCATGGTATTTTCATTTGGGGGGTGTGTGGTCCAATTTTTTTTAAGCCTTGAGATCTGGCCACTTAGAATGAGCAGCGCCTGAGAGAGGCAGTTCTATGATCTAAGCACACGCCTGTGCTCCTAGCTCTCAGAAGGCAAAGGATGAAAAAAGATCAAGGTTGGGGCTGGCAAGATGGCTTGGTGACTCAGAGCTCTTAATGCTCTTTTAGAGGACCTGGGCTCAGTTCCCAGCACCACACAGTGGCTCACAACTGTCTGGAACTCCAGTTCCAGGGGTCCCTACGTCTTTTCGTGACCTTTGACGGTGCTGCACGCATGATTGCAAGAAAGTGTACTCAGACATGCACTCATATAAAAAAAAATTTAAGAGTTGAAGGTATCTTTGGCTACATAGTGAACTTGAGGCCAGCATGAGCTACATGAGACTTTGTCACATGTACAACAGAGAAAATGACAAAAATCTCATACCCCCTCAAAAAAAAAAGTGAGCCATCTTTTCTGTTGGCATATGTATGGATTCCCATGAAAAGCTTAAAAGTCTTAAAAGACCACAAATCTGTATCAAGTCCCCTAAAATCCCCCATGGTTTGTGGCTGGACCACTTCAGACTCAGGTCGTGGACCTAACCTTCTATTAAGGGCATCAGACTCTGCACTGTATCACCTGGCATCATCCAGTCTGCCCATAAATAATGATGCCATGCTAACGAGATTTGGTGGTAATTCAGCAGCAGAGGAGTGTGGGTGTGTGTGCAGATCACACACACAGAGAACGGTATTGAAAAGCAGGAGTAATAATTAGAGTTTAATAAATGGCAATTTGCTCCTTGACACTACGCGTGTCGGGAGCTGGGGAGTGTAATAAAGGGGTCCCTTCAGGAAGGTGGAAGGCAGCACGTTTGCCATGATGGCTTCATTCTCATCCTCTGATTTCTCAGGATTGAAATTAATTCTCATCTACCTACGGACCCTCTTTTCAGAGGATAACTCCTGAGGAATGTCAAAAGACACCATCTGATAAGAATTATTAGAATTATTGAGCACTGGGACCAACTTTTATCTGGAGTTACAGGATGTACAAGTCCCAGCTCCAGGGAGACAAAATGAGGTAAAGAGTACAAACAATTATCTGGGTCATTCAAGGGAAGAATAGCTCTTGCTCGAGTGAGTGTTTGACTCATCGGAATAATTGTTCTCATCGTTTAGGTATGGTGGTGAGGCCCCAGGAAGGAGATCTGTCAGCAAAGAATGGAAGGTGAGCATGTGCAGAGACAGGACAGGAAGGCTGCAGAAGCATCCCCTCCACAGCTGTAAGGTGGCAGGCATAGGCTGGCCAGGCATGAACAGGGGTTGGGGGAATTACCCTTGGAGACCCAAAAGACCAAGCAATGCTAACAAACACAGAAAACCGAGGCCCATGGAGCCAGAGATACAATCTGAAGACTGCCGAGCTCTGGTGAGTGGAGCTGGAAAGATGGAAGAATCAAGCCAAGAAGAAGGAAAAGGTGTGTGCACATGTTTGTGTGTGCACATTTCGTATGTAGTATGGAAATGAAAGCTCCCCCACCCCTCCTCTCACCCCCCCCCCTTCCTCCCAAGCTCCAGCTCACAACCACCTGCAAGTCCAGCTCCAGGGAGAATCTGATGCTCCTGGCCTCTGTGGGCACCTGCACTACCTCCCACCCACACATAATTAAAAAGATTTTCTTTTTAAAGATAGTTGCTTTAGGACTGGGCTGTAGTCTGACTAGTAGAATGCTTACTTAGTAACCATAAAGCTTAGTAACCACAAAGCGTTGGGTCCCAGCACTACAGAAGCCAGATGTGGTGGTGGATGGTAGAGGCAAGACAATCAGAAGTTCAAGGTTGTCTTTGGCGTTATTAATTAATAGGTGCATTCATTTTTTTAGATACAAATTTCTCTTGGAGGATATTATGGATTTCATATGAAATGCCCCCCACAAAGTCTCATGTATTGAAGGCTTGGTACACAGGATCACCAGCTCCAAATCCCAGTTCCATTTTCTAAGCTGTGTTTCTTTAAAGGAAATTCCTTCGGTCTTCTGAATCTTCATTTTCTCCTCTTGAATCAAGGACAACATCTTCCTATCATAAGACCCGTTTGACTCTTTTTTTTGTTGTTTGTTTGTTTGTTTGTTTTTCGAGACAGGGTTTCTCCGTAGCTTTTGGTTCCTGTCCTGGAACTAGCTCTTGTAGACCAGGCTGGCCTCGAACTCCCAGAGATCCGCCTGCCTCTGCCTCCCAAGTGCTGGGATTAAAGGCGGATGACTCTTATACAATACAACTCACACACGTGAGCAGGAGCTGTTGCTCAGTGTAGAATACCTGCCTAGGAGTCACAAGGCCCTGGGTTAGAGTCCCAGCACCGCCCAAACCCACCAATCCAGACCCCTATACTTTAAGTGTACATCTCCAGTCTCAGCACTTGAGAACAAGCGGCAGAAGGATTACTAGGAGCTCAAGGACAGCCTGGGTTACATAGACCCTGTCTCGAAAAACACCAACGCTCAGGCAAGGTTGTGGAAGAGGGACCAGAACGAAGATAAGGACCAGAGGATGGGGCGGAGTGCTGTGAATCCCTGTCTTTAGGATGCATGGCTGCTTTGTGCATGAACTCATAGCAGCCGTGGCCAGCATAAGGTTACATCAACATTCCGTTTTGCATGGCAGGCTGGGGGGCAGGGAAGGGACACCTCAAGACTCATGAGCCCCCACACATCCCTGGGGAAAAACAGGCAGTTATTGGTTGCTGAGGGAGAGAGTCATGCTCAGTGTTAGAGCCACTGCTAAGTCACCTTTGCTCAAGAAAATAACCCTAACCCATGTGTACTTAGGCAACTTTAACTAAATGCAGCAGGCTAGGCATAAACAAGAGATGTAAAAGAGGAAGAGACTTGTGGGAGGGAAAAGGTAACAGGAGATCATGGGGAGGCTGGGGAGATGACTCAGTGAGTTGGGGTGCTTGCCACCAAGCCTGGCAACCTGAGTTGGATCCTCAGGACCCATGTGGTTAGAAAGAGAAGCAATGCCTGAAGGTTGTATTCACACCTTCACATGTGTGCCATCTCACACACACACACACACACACACTAAATAAGTAACTAAATAAAAATTTAAGTGCTGGGACTATGATCAAACTATATTTCATGTTTATGAAATTATGAAAGAATATATAAATTAACAACAGCACCAGCAAGGACAATAAGAACAAACCACTGTAGTATAAAGCAGGGGCTCAGATCCACAAATGTTCACTGAGGAATGAATGAGAGAAGCCTGGCTGTCTCCTTGCAGATGAATGGCCCAGAGCTAAGAGGCCTTGAGTGCACGGTACAGGGACAAGACAGACCGTCGCAAACCGGGGTTTGTCAGTGGAGCACAGCCTGCTGCCTTATTTATGCGCCAGGTTTTCATCATTCGCTCTCCACACTTAGGGGATTAATTCCCGGGACGTGCAGTCAGTAACACACCAGCCAGCCAGGCAACAGATAAGAGCAGCCAGGGTTGTAATTCCTGCCCCATTGACAGGCCTTCAACACACAGAGGAAGAATGGAGCAGCTGAAAGCTTCTTTCAAAGTCAGTAACAATGCTACAAGTGACTGTGTGTGTGTGTGTGTGTGTGTGTGTGTGTGTGTGTGTGTGTGTGAAGGGGGGGAGGCGAGGTGGGCAGGAAAGGGTGAGCGGTCAGCCCTGCTCTTTGTGCCAGCAGAGACCACAGGGCCCGACAGACGGTCGGCTAAGCCCCTGCTTAGATTTTAGGGAAATGATGAAAGTTTTTCAGTTTCGAAAACAAGAATAAAAGAGCCTCTATGCCCCCTTTGTGTACAAAGCCTTCTTTAGAACCTTTCCATTTTTAAGGTGAACATGATCAAGGTATATTATATGCACATATGGAAATGAGGCCCATTACTTTGTGCAATTAATATATGCTTTAAAAAAAAGGATTCCTTCATTACGGAAATAGCAATTTTATTGATGAATATAATTGCCAAGGAACACTGGAATCTGAAAGGACATGAAATGCTAAAATGAGTCTCAGCCTGATTCACCAACTCACCCCAAACCTTCCCTTCTGCCTCTTTTTGTTCTTATACCTGTAAAAATCTTTCTGTGATTTCTGAATAATTAAATAGGGTGGATCCAGGCAGTATTGTAGCAAATGGTGACTGCCCCTCTCTTGTTCTCTTTGAGGGCACTCAATGAACCATTATTCCTAAAACATAAAATACAAGAGAATTGTTGTGTTGGATGGGCTGGGGAAATGGCTCAGCTGGTAGAGTATTTGCCTTGTATGTACAAGGACCTGGGTTCGAATCCTCAGAGTCCATGTAAAAGCCAGGCGCAGTAACCACCCTTTCAGTGCTCCTGCCAGGAGATGGGTGACAGAGACAAGAGAAACCCCCCAAACTGAAGGGCCAGCGAGCCAGGAGTACACTGCGGTGAGCAGAGAGACTCTTCCTTAAACAGGGAGGTCGTGCTCTGACCTGCACACCCATGCCCATGTGCATACACACAAGCATGTGCACACGTGTACATCATATTTATTCTAATTCCACTACTTAGGTATATTCCCAAAAGAACTGAAAACCAGTCTTAAGCCATTCCATGCACAGGGATACAGGGATATTTATTACACCATTATTCTCTCTCTCTCTCTCTCTCTCTCTCTCTCTCTCTCTCTCTCTCTCTCTCTCTCTCTCTCTCNCCTGCCCTGGAACTAGCTCTTGTAGACCAGGCTGGCCTCGAACTCACAGAGATCCACCTGCCTCTGCCTCCTGAGTGCTGGGATTAAAGGTGTGCGTCATCACCGCCCGGCCTGCACCATTATTCTCTACCCTAAATGGATATATGCAAATGGATAAACAAATTGTGGTATAGCTATACTGTGGGATATTATTCTGCCATAAAAATGAAGGATATATTGGTACCTGCTACCACATGTGTGCACCTTGAAGAGACGATACTGAGAGAACCCAGACACAAAGATTATATGTGGTGTGATTCCTTTTACACAGAATAACCCAGGATAGGTTAATTCATAGGCACAGAATGAAGATTGGCAGTTGCCAGGGCTGGAGAGAAAAAGAAAGTTTCATATTGAGTACAGGGTTTCATTTTGGAATCACGGAAGTGTTTTGGAACTAAATTGGAGTGGCAGTTGTACAACATTATATCTAGGACACACTCTGGAGTCATCCACTTTAAGATACCCCTTTCACTAGCAGTGTGGCTCAGTGGTAAAGACCTTGCAGGGTATCACCAATGCAAAACAACAAACAAACAAAAAAGTGGTTGTGTTTTGTTTTAAAGACAGGGCTTACTGTGTAGCTCTGACTGGAACTCACTATGTAGACCAGGCTGGCCTCAAACTCACAGATATCCCCCTGCCTCTGCTTCCCAAGTGCTGGGACTACAGGCATGAACCATGCCTGGATCAAAAAAAATATTTAAGGTTAATTTTATGATGTGAATTCTACATTGATATATTATCTTTAAAATTGTGTTAATTGGAGCCAGCAATATGGCTTCGAAGGCACCTGCTGCCAAGCCTGATAATCTGAGTTCAAATCCCAGGACTCACACATTGGAAGGAGAGAACCTACTCCCCCAGGTTGTCCTTTGACCTTCTTACAAGAATCTTGGCACACACACATGAACATAAAATAAGTTTGTGTTTAAAAAAGATGTTTAACTGTGTTAATATAATTATTTCAGGATGATACAAATGAAAAAGAAAATTCCAACCCCGTAGATAGCTGGAGACTCCTCTTTTTTCTAATTGATTTTTATTGAGGAGATTCCTCTTTTAGCTGACGCTTAGTTCTCCTCATAGGCAATCGTTAGAAAATCTGTGTATTTGTTCAGAGAGAATTTAGTCTATGATATGTATGTACATATGTGTTTCTACATATATTAAGTAGAAGCATAGATGTACAATGTTCTTTTACAGAGAATGTTTCTCATGGCTCAGGCAGGTCTTGCACTACTGACCCATCTTATAAGTATTAGGATCACCAGCATGCACCACTATGCCTAGTTTATCCCATGCTGGGGCTGGAACCCAGGGCTGTGCATGAGCAAGCAGTCTGCCCTGAGCTACAGCCTCCTCTCTGCTGTTTTAAAACTACAGTTTTGTGCCCTCACCCAGATCTAGTTGATCAGAGCTTTGGGGGCGGGGCCCAGGAATGTGTTCTGAGGCTTACCCAGGACTGTGCTGTGCAAAACAAGTGGTTGGCATGGAATGGGCTGCCCGGTGGCTGGTGGTTTCCCACGTTCATGAGTTCCCTGGACCTCCTGCCTTGCAGGGCTTGAAGGTAACAAATCTTAATGGGATGGAAGAATGGGCCAGCTCATGAATGCAGAAAAACTGACTGGAAAAGCCAGACTCTTCACCACATTGCCACATGGTCCAAAACTTGTCACACGTGAGAAGTGAGTGTTAGCAACAAGGACATGTGTACCTGCTGGCAAGTTCCTGGGAAACTACATCTGGTCTGAAGATGAGAAAGGACACAAGCTGAGGGAACAGCACATCCTAGACACTCAATGCCCACACCAGGACTCCACTGGCCTTGACCTGTAGCAGAACCCTGCTGCCTCCTAATGTGAGGCTCTCCTCGCTTCTCAAGACCTGCTCTTGTGGAAGCTGCGTCAACTGTGTAAGTTTTCTGTCTTGCCCCTTCTCTATTGGGGTACCTACCCACACCATCAGTGTATTAGATTTGGGAATCCGTGGAACTCAGTTTGAATACCAGGATTTCCTCTTATTAAAGCTGAGGTTTCAGACTTGAGAAGCATCATTTCTGTGCCCCAAGTATATGTGGCCCTCTCGGCTCAGAGCTCAGTCCCTGCAGGTTCCCTCCTTCCCTCCTGCCAGGCAACAAGCAGTCTCTGTTCCGGTCACATTCCGGGTCTCAGGGTTATCTCCGGTCACAGTTCTGGACCTGGGGTGACTTCATCCTTTCTCTCCTCAGGGCCTCCATCCCCTCTGCCCTCAATCCACACAGGCATATGATCGGGTCCTGGCCCCAGACACAGGGTGGCTATGAAAAGGACATTGTATCTGAGCCCAGAGCTCCAGGGGTCAGATTTCTACCTCCCACAAACACTAATCAGGTCTGCAGAGTCACATGAGGTCCTGTGACCCCAGCCCAGATGGTCTCATGTCTCCCTGCAGGTTGGACGATGCTGGGGCACACTTCCGACTACCAGTTTCAGGCTCCCCAGGGTGACAGTCCCTGGGCAAGTTGGGAAGTACATGAATGCATGGATCAAATCTTCTTACCCCAATCATGCATATCATTTCAGAGACTCTTTTTCCCCTGTTTATAGTCTCAGACAGGGTCCCCTTCTACTGTGGAGTTGAGCTGGTCTTGCTAGAGCATGCACGTTGCGCTAAGTGGATTATATATGAGCAGCCTTGTTTCATACCGACAGTCTTGGGAGGTGAGTGCTGTTTCTAACCCCATACTGCAGACCACAGCGACAATGACCATTGATAGACAGAACGGGGCAAATGCTATTCTCCATGCCTAGGGTCATCGGTTCATTTTCCTGTCACCGTGCCTTCCATGGTGCAGATGTTCTCATCATTGCCCACTAAATGGGACTCAGAAATGTAGGGAAAGTGGCCCAGGTCACCCAGACAGCAAATGGCAGAAGTTAGTATTTCAGTCTGGCCATTCTGGCTCCTGGGACTCCCGGCCGTACTGCTCCACAGTCCCTTGTGTTTCTTGAGGCAGTCTCCGGTGTCACCTTAGCACACACAGCTTGTATTACAAATCAATGAGTTGTGAGTCAGAAGGGCCCTGGCTCCGCCATGGAGGTCCCCAAGTGCTGAAGGACGGACCATGATGATTGATTTCTAGGCTGAGCCTTTAAATGTCAGAGTGTGCGTGACCACATCAAACCTTGGGTCCAGAAATAAAATGCAGAGGGAAAGGACATTCTAGTGTGTGAGATAAGGAGGTGGAAGAGGCAGTCAGAACAGCTGACAACGTGGGCTGCACACGTGAGGAATGTATGGATTTCCTGGGAAGGCAGTGGGGGATGGGAGCGGGGTGAGAACAGAACACCTGACCTTGAGCAGCTGTGAAGCCATACAGGGTGTGACCTTGGCCAGGGAGAAATGGGTGGTAACCTGATTAGGTCTCTGTCTGTATTGATTGGTCCTGTTCGGATCAGCTCATTAGATCAGCCTGACTACTGAGCCCTTCTCAGAGCTCTCAGAGCTCACCCAGACCCCCTCCTGCATGGCTCCATGGGCCTGCCCACTCCAGTCATTACGTGTCCTAGGAGCTAGGATACCCATGATAGACAGAAACTTCCTCCTATCACGTAGTCTAGAAGGAGGTTGACAGGATAAGGGAGGACACGAGAGATAGACCTAAGGGGAATTACAGATGTAGTGTGTGCAGTAAGGACAGAAAATGAGATCATGGGAGAGACTTGTAGGGAGGGGGTGAGGGAAGGAAGCCCAGGAGGGCATCTCCGAGGATATGACATTTTAGAAGCTTTCTCAGTAATGGGGAAAAGGGACTGATCTGTCTGAGAACTGAGGGGACAGCTTTCAAGACGGCACAGCAGCCACAAGGGCCCTGTGCTCCGAACAGGCTCGGCCTCTGGGACTGTAAGAAGGGCTATGTGGCTCAACAGAGGAGAGGAGATGCAATGGGCCCCTCACCACTGTCCCCCTGGGGTGGCTGTCCTGAATGAACAGCCCAGGTTGACCAACAGGATTTGACACTGGTCTGTCTTTTCCCCCTATCCCTCTCACAATTCTAGACTCAGCTTTGGGTTATGCTTCCATGGCCCCACAGTCTGGGTGGAAGGTTCAAACTGTGTAACTCTTACCCAGCCATGCCTTGGAAGCAGAGCCAGGGTGGAAGATTAGAGCAAGAGCCTGGAGGCTGGAGGCACTTTCTGATCCTCAGAAATCATCCACCCCACCTTTCTCCCCTAGCCTACCTCAAGTTCACCTCTACCCCAGCCCACCATGAGCTTGACCCACTCTGCCCTGGATTCAGCCCTGGGCCTCCACTCTAGCTGATCTAACACTGCCTAATCCACATTTTCTCCCTCATACCACAACGGCCTTGGAGAACAAGAGTTCAAATGTGGCTTCTGCCATGACCGGCCCTGAGCTTTGGCAAGGCATTTCACTTTTCAAGATCACAGCTTCCTTTGATACCTAAAACTGTAATTCCAAAGCTCAAGTTTATCAGGGAGGGATTTCAGGAAGTCCCATGGTGGTGGTTTGAGTAAGAATGACCCCCATAGGTTCTCAGCAGTGGCACAATTCAAAAAGATTAGGAAACGTGGCCTTCTTGGAGTAGGGGCGGCCTTATTGGGGTAGATGTGGCCTGGCTGGAGGAAGTGTGTCACTGGTGGGGTAAGATTTGGAGTTTCAGAAACCTATGCCAGGTGCAGCAGCTCTCGGTGCCACTATGCTCACCACCATGAGGATAATGAACTGAGCCTCTAGAACTGTACACAAGCCCCAGCTAAATGCTTTCCTTGGTGTCTCTGCCCTGCAATGGAACCCTGAGACATCCAGTATCCAGTGGAGAAATGAGGAAAAGGAGAGAACCCATACAGACCTCGTTAGCTGCAATGGGTCACACAGTGGCTTTGGGGGCTGAAGAGGGCACAGCTTCTTGGCCTGTCTGAACACTACAATGCCTGGACATGTGACATCTGTGCACAAGCAAATCTGAGAGTGGGAATTTAGTTGGTGGAGAGGTAGCCTGACAACTGGATTCTTCTTATGATTCCGGGGTGGTGATGGTGTGTGTGTTGGGGTGGGGGTGGGGGTCCATATAATCTGCCCAATGGGAAACTGCTGGTTTAAAACACAGAGCTGCCCCAGGCAGAGGTGACAGCCTAGAGTCTTTATCCACACCTAGACTATCTTTGTTACTTTCTAGCTGCCTCTTCTCTTCTCCTCTTCCTCCTTTCCTTTTTCTTGCTTCTCTTCCCCACCCTCAGACAAGGTCTCATATAGCCCAGGCTGGCCCCAGACTTGCTATAAATCTAAGAAGGCCTTTGAATCCTGATCCTCCTGTCTTTACCTCCCAGAGTTGCTAAGGTTACAAGTGTACAATACCATACCCAGTTTTCGCTGTGCTGGGGATCAAACTCAGGGGTTCAGACACAGGCAAATACTCTGCCAAATGAGCTATATTCCAGCTCTTTAATTGCTTTTCAGAGTGGTTCTCACATGTTCCCTTGATCCGAAACCACAACAACAACTCCCCTCAAGCTTGCCACTGCCTGCAGTCTTGGATGTTTTGAGGACACTATGAGAAGAACGTTAGTTTCCACTGCATCTTCCTCCCTTTTTTCTTCCTTTTTGAGACAGGGTCTCCCTATGTATCTCTAGCTGTCCTAGGACTCACTCTGTAAACCAGGCTGGCCTCGAACTCACAGAGATCTGCTTGCTTCTGCCTCCCGAGTGCTGGGATCAGAGGCATGAACCCCAATGCCCAGCTTACACATCTCTAAGACAGGGGAACCGGTTTATAAATTTGCGTAAGGATTAGCGTACCACAGGCGTGGCACAAATGATGCTTTTATGGGCTTTGTCATAGCTTATGGCTCTGTCTCATTAGCACCCAGCCACAGGTTTTGAACACCTCGAGGGCCCAATAAAACAGCATCCTCTGAAGCAACAATGCTGGAAGTGTGGGACTCAAAGGGGCTGCCTGGATACAGTCCCTCACACTTGTCATTCCTCAGGCTGGGCAATTATACCTTCCCTGGTGATCTGGTTATTTTTAACCTCAGCTGCACACTGGAATCATCTGGGGACTTTAAAAGAAAACATGCATGCCTGGGCCCCATGGGTAGGGATTTCTGATTTCATTGGTCTGGGCAGTGCCTAGACACTTGGGGTTTGAATAGTTCTCTAGGGATTTTAACACTGCAGACTTGGTGATTAATTAAGGATACAGGGCCAGGCAGAGGGATGCAGGATGAGCAGGAACAAGGTGGTGTCGTCCTTCCCCTGTCAATCCTCCCTCTGATGTGTCCCTTTGGCCTCAGAGACTTTGGTCTTCGGGAAAAGGCAGGCTGGAGGTCTGGGTGGTGGGAGTCTTGGGGATCCCCTCTACAGAGCTGTTATCCTAGGCGCCTTTTCACACACTCTGAAAGGTGACCCCCTCCCCACAAGACCCAGCTTGCATTGTCCTGGGACTCACACTAGCTCACTGAATGTCCTGACACCTGGCTTCAGGTGAGTCTCAGGGATACTGAGAGATCTCCCCAGTGGACGATGGTTCACCCCTATGCCGCAAAGTCAGGATAGCAGTCTGTGTCTTTGAGGCAGGCTCAGGAGAGTGCTCACAATAGATTCTCTGGAAAATCTTGCTTGAGATGAGTAGGGATAAAAATGGTCAGTTGGAGCTTTGCTGTGTTACTTAGGCTGACTGCACGCTCCCAGACTCACGTGATCCTCCTGCTTGGGATAACCCGGACTGTGCGTGTGCACTCCTGTACCTGCTAATATCCTATGTAAACGAGGACTCATCTGCTGAGTACAGTGGTGCACACCCCTAACGCCAGCATTCAGGAGGCAGAGGCAGGGGTAACTCTGGGGTTCTGAGGCAGCCGGGTCTACAAAAAGACAGCCAGGATTACATAGAGAGAACAAACAAATTAATAAGGACTCTAAATTATTGGGCTGAGAAGCATCTCAGACTCTT